GTCTAGAAATCAAAATCCAGTTCTCAGATTTTGAAGAAACTATTCACTTCTCATGCCTGTCTCTTTTCTGATATCTCTACTTTCTCTGGCATGATATTAATTTGAAAAAATACCACCTGGGTTCCTAAGGTGTCCATTTCTTTTTTACCCAGAATTCCCAAATCTTTAGCAACACCTTCTATGCTCTTTCTGCTGGTAACATTTGTCTCTAGGTGAATCACAAGGTGTATAGTGGCAATCAGGTTTGACAAATCTCAGAAGGTCCTGGGAAAACAATCTACTTCTATTGTTTCTGTTAGGTTAAACTATGACGTCCCAGTAATGAGTCACCAACTGTAACTGGGAAAAGTGATGGATTTTGAGGCAGAAGAATTGAGTTCAGGTCTGGACTTTCTGCCCGTGTCACCTTGGGGAGGTCACTTCATATCTCTTAGCTTTAGCTGGCTCATTTGCAAAATGAGGGGTATTAGCTTAGATCAGTGGTGTCAAATTCAACGAGAAACCAGGGGCACTCATCCATATGCAGGGAAACCTGGGGGAGACAGATTGAGTTAGGAAACCACAAATGACTATCATCTATGTTTCATTGATTTTTTAAAAAATGACTTTTGTAAAATATTTTCCAATTGCATTTTTATCTGGTACTAGCCTACCCAAATGTTTGACCTCTCCAGTCTAGATGACCTCTGAGGGCCCTTCCAGATCCAAAGCTATAGATTAGCATGTATTTTATTGGCCAACATTGAATGAACTGTCTCCTGGGAGCATCTCTGCATCCATATCATCACTCTTTGGAGGAAGAGGAGCTGCTTTCTCCCAAGAGGTCTCAGCTGTCCTGTATACAAGCAGAGCTTCATACCTGTTATAAATAAAAGAAATATTCAGGGCTAGTCTTCCATTTCTGTGTCATATTCTTCTCCTTTCTGACCTCCTGACATACATTTTGATTCCCATCTGGCCCATCCAGTCCATTCCCTCAGTTTTCCTTCGAAAGAATATAAGCTCCTTGAGGGCAGGGACTGTTTCAAATTTTATTCAATCTCCCTGCACTTAGCATAATTCCTGGCATAGAGGTGCTTATATAATGCGTGCTTGTTGATTAAAGCACTTCTTCCATTATTTCCAGGAATAATTCACCTCCCTGAGAAGTTGGAGAATGGAAAGCTATTTCTCCATGTTTCTGATGTTCTTTGCATGCTTTCTGCCCAGACACAGCTGTTGCTTACCACCAGCAGGGCTGCAAATATAACACATTCTTTTTAGTCCTCTGAAAAATTTTCTTTGCCCTCCATGTTCCTTGGAAGCAAGGTCTTCATTTCTCTTTTGTTCTTTTGGCTAAGTCTCATGGCAAAATTTCCACTGCTGCTCACAATGGACTCTCGAGTGATGCTTTATTGAAGTGGGGTTTCCCTGCCTTTCCTTGCAATAGGATCACTAGCTCACTTAGCTGTCTTTTGACCTGTAATGACTAGATTCCAACCAAAGGCCTAATGCAAAAGGACACTAGCTGACCTCAGCTGTTATCCACTGCTCTTAAATCCAATCCCAACCTGAAATTCTTTCTTATTTCTTCCTTTGTCTCTTCTTGGTTGATGAAATGTCAAACACCTATTTGCATGTTGCTTAATTTAGTGCTTGTGACCCACACTAATCCCTTTGCAATGATTGGTTTGTGTATAGTTGGTCACTTGAGTTTACTCAGCTGCCTCAGATCTCTATCAAATACCTAAAGCAAACGTAAGTCCCTCAGCCTTTGCTTGTGAAGTCTTAAGTAGAAGGTTTTAGAGTACCCAGTATGCAGTTGGAAATCAGAGATGAGCAGGGGTGGGGAACCTGTGACCTTGAGGCCACGGGTGGCCCCCCTAGATCCTCAAGTGTGGTCCTTTGACTGAATCCAAACATCATAGAACAAATTCCCTGAATAAAATGATTTGTTCTGTAAAACTTGGACTCAGTCAAAAGGCTGCACCCAAGGACCTAGAAGGCCACATATGGCCCTGAGGCCACAGGTTTCCCACCTCTGGACTAAAGCTTTGGGGAAAGAGAGGTTATATAAATTGAGTGGATAGCTGTGTAGCTGCCTAGCTGAAGCTGGGGGCAAGAAGACATGACCAGAGGAGAAGTGGGTCAAAGAGGGTCAGAGAACCTTGAGGTACACATACAGTAAGAGTAGGAGGAATTTGTCTAAGTAGACTGAGAAGTAGCTGTCAGAGAAAAAAGAGAAGACCCTCAAGAATATCATGCAAGCCAATCTAGGAAAGAGTGAACACAGACAAAATAATAGGGAGAGGTGGAGGGATGTTTGCTGGGAAATGGAGGTTAACCCTTGGGGTTTATGACTATGCTGGAGTCCATTAACAAAACTAGTATTCTACAAGTATATTATCGAGAGCTGAAAACACTATAGCTAAGAGCTATGTGAATAGCTAATATGGGGTCAAGGAGCGGTCAGGTTTGGACTACTGAGGTCCTGGGAATCTTAGACTTTTACAGAAGTTTCTATTTACAAGAAGGGGCCTTAGCAGGGACAGGCTGTCCTGGACCATCAGGTCTGATGGCTACCAAACTAAGCCACTCACAAAGGCCATAGGGATTCAAAATATCATGGGTCTTCCCTGAAAATGGAAGTGGTGGAATTAAGATAAAATCAGTAGAATAATGACTCATTTTCAAAATATGATTCCTTTAGCGAGATCCGATCTCCATATCTGTAGCTTTCTCTCTCTAAAGATATAGAGATAGATATTCATCTATATAGTTGTATTTGAGCGAGGCCTGTGATTTCATTGGTATGAAAAGCTCTTAGTGAGGAAAGCTCCCTCCCCCATGCAGATCAGCACGTGTACTGAAATTTATAACCTTAGAAACTTTCCTGAGACAGCTAAGTGGTATCCTAGTGGACAGAGTGTTGAATCTGGAGTCAGGAAGAACTGAGTACAAATCCAGCCTCAGAACCTTACTAGCTGTGTGACCCTGGGCAAGTCATTTAACATCTGTCTGCCTCAGTTTCCCCAACTGTAAAATGGGGATAATAATAGCACCTACTCCACAGGGTTGTTGGGAGAATAAAAAGAAGTAATATTTGCAAATTGTTTATCACAATGTGTAGCAAATAGGTTCATGATAAATACTCATTTCCTTCCTTCCTTCCTTCCAACACTGGGAGATTAAATGAGCTGTCCAGCATCACACAAACCAGAAATCGAACCCACGTCTGCTTTTGCTTGACTATATCACATTCTCTGCATCCCTCCATCCTCCTCTCCGTGCCTGTCTCCTCCTTTCTCTTTTTATCCCATCTTCTCTTTCTTTTCTTTATCCTTTTTTCCTCTTCCTCTCTCCTGTTCTCTTTTCTCTTTCTCTTTCTCTATCCTTTCCTTAAGGTTTCAAGGCTTTATATGGAAACGCAGCCTAAGAATTTAGGTTGTTTCATTGATTGGGGTCTTCAGGGTGCTACAATTTGGCGAAATCCAAAGCCCACCTAGAAGTGGAAGATAGGAATAGGGAGGGTTTAGAACTTGAAGGAACATTCCTTTTAACAAAGAAAAGCCAGATCCCTGGGAGGGGAAGCCAGCAATCTGCTCAAAGTAAATGAAGGGAAATTCTTCATTTCTAAATGGTTCATTGACCCATGATAATACAGCCACACAGCAAAAGAAGGATAATTATCTTTTTAAGTATCAGATGCCCTGTGGGTTGAAGCTTCCCTCTTCCTCTCTTGAAAAATGAACTCAGATTAAACAAATGTTCTTTTTCCTAGTTTACCATTGACATGAATTTCCTTATTATGAGCAAAATTAATTAGTTTTCCCCCTCTTTTCTTTTTTTCCCCTTTCCTTCTCTGCTATGGAAATCAGACTTCCACAACAAACCCCTCACTTTTCCCCTTGGGATTTTATTTCAACCAATAGCATCAGTTATGAAGATACTTTGTATGCAGGCAAAACTAGACTATAAATTATTGGAATTTTTTTGCCCTTTGGCAGCTTGGGTTCCAGGTAGTGGCGTGTTCTTTTAGAACAACCAAAGCACACAGAAACAAAACTTACCAGGGGAAAAAAAAAAATCACAACACACACACTCACAGAAGAAACAACTCGAAGCTTTTCTGTCCCAGTGGGACTTGAGAGCTAAACAAATACCAATATGTGTTATTTTAAAACTAATTTAAAGGATTGGATCCTAGTCAAAGTAGCAGAAATAGCATTGATCACTTGTAAAAAAAAATTAAATATTGATATATAACCTGTAGGTTATACTAATTACATCCTGACCCTTTCTCTCAAGAACATTTCAATTTTCCTCAGACTAATAATGCAGATATATTTACTCTGATAAACTTAGAGACTGCATTAAGAAGTTCTCATCTATATAAGTAGACAACCCTTTCCACATACTAATGATTTCACTTCAAATGTCTTGGCTTCCTGGAAATCAGTCTGACATAACCTTTTCGTGAATTGCTTAACTCCTGGTACATTTCTCGGTTACAGATGAGGTAGATGGTACTTTTCTGAAGGTCTGCAGAGTTTCCAACAGTTAAAAAAAAAACTACTGTCTTTTCATAACATTCTTTCCCTATTTCTCCAAAGGGTTATTGAAATTAAATTTTAATCCTGGCAAGCTAACTAGGAGGGAACTAGTTTCTCATCACTTTTCTAAGCTAATGCTTTAAGACGTCTAGAGGACAGTTGTAGCAGAACTGGGGTTCAGGAGACAGAGGCCTCCATCTTTGACTCTTCCCAGTATCCTCTTGGTGCGCCAAGATAAAAAAAACAAAACAAAACAAAACAAAACAAAAAAACAAAAACAAACACTAACCTTTCTGTACCCCCCTAGCCTCAGCTCTAAGAAAGAAGGTAGTAATAATATTCACTAGGCAGAATATTAATGGTGACTTGGAACTTCTTGGCTTCACTGCATAAAAGCATGGTGTTTTTGTATCCCAAGCTTAACAATACTAATGCTTGCTCACTAAGAGCTGTGTCCATTATGAACAGTGATGTACCTTAACACAGGCTCTGACACAGATGTCCTGGTGTGTCCTCTGCGCCCCGTGGAGCGTTTCCGTGACCTGCATCCCAATGAAGTGGCAGATTTGTTTCAGATGGCCCAAAGGGTTGGAAATGTGGTGGAGAAACACTTCCAGGGAACTTCTCTCACATTTTCCTTACAGGTGGGTATGTTGATTGCTTGGTTTGTACCTTTTTTCCTTCCTTTAAAGCATGGCTGTCTCATTTTTTGACCTTTAACCAATCCGTTGCTTCATTTAGTTGACAATACTCATTGATAAGACTGTGCCTTAGAGGGGCAGTAGAAATAGGCTGAATTTGGTCCTTAGGACCAACCTCTGTAACTTCCTGTCTGTATGGCTTTGGACAACTCACTTTGCCCTTCTGGCACTGTTAAAATGAGATGAAACTAAATGGCTTCTGAGATCCCTTTCGGTGCTAACTCCATGATCCTGCATTAGAAATCCAGGGACACTAGTGTTTCAAAAATGACGGGATCCCTTGTATCCATCAAGCTCATCAACACTGAAATATTATAGAAATGTTAGGTGTTTCTGGCAAGATCTCAATTTCACTTCAATGTCAACAGAGCAGAGAAGAGGCTCAACCTAGAATATATCTACACAGCCCAAAAGAGTTCTAAAATGAAAGGAAAAAGCAAATCAAAATAAAATTGAGGAGGTGATTTCATGGACATTAAGATACTGCAGTGTGGGGGGGAGATAGAGAATTTATTTAAAGGGAATTGATTGCTTGATGAACTAAGTATGTCATATTTAAGTTAAGCTAAATTCTTATGTATCCCAAGACTATTCCCTAATTCTCTTCCTGAGACCCTCCAAGACACCTGAAGCAAATGTTCTTAATATATAATCATCGCAAAAGTGATGATTGGACCCAAAAGATGGATTTTTTTTTCTTGCTCTCATTCTACTCTATCTTAATGGGTGCAATTTTTTAAAAACCTTTTTTTTAAAAACCAAAATGTTTCAATGGTTCTTTGTAGACACAGTCTGTTTCTGTAATTTTTCTGTTTGAGTCTATGGACAAAGTTCAAGTAAACAGGTGAAGAAAATTGTAAATGCCTCCTAAGAAATCATCTATTCATTCCTTCAATAAACATTTTTTAAATCCCCCCTCCCTTTCTGTGCAGTGTGAAGGCGCTGCCTGTTAACCAGCAAAATTTGCTCTTCCAGGAGGTGACTTAGGTCACTTCTTTGCTTTGATTTCCGAGAGAGCTGGTTCATTCCTGAAATCAGGTGGACATGTGCTTTCAGTTATGCCTAACTTATGTAATGGGTTTTGGACTGGCTTGATGCCCAGGCTGGTTAACATGTTCCATGGGTTTCTGGGTAGGTCAGAGGTACAGGAACCAGGAGCTGATGGTGTAGTAGGAGTAGGAAGCAGAAGAGGGAAGGGATTGGGAACCCTGGTGTGACTTATCCATGCCTTTCTCAAGGTTAATGATAGGGAAAGAATGGACATTTTTTTTTTTGTCTAATATGGGAAGTTCAATACCCTTACTTTACTAATTTACTTAAATCAGTTTCCCTATGTAAAAGCTTCAGATAATCAGACATTAATTAAACTGCCTCTGATTTAAAGGGACTTGCAAGATGTTATGCTTCACATCCCCAAATGGTCCTCAGCCTTCCTTTAAAGCAATCAAAAGGAGAGCCATGAGTGGAAAGCATGTAGAGGATCAAGGAAGGGTGATACTTTGTATAATTTATATCATTTTTATGTCTAACTTCTCACTTAGTCTTAGGCAGAAATGGAAAAGTATCTCTTCTCAAATGCTTGAAGTGGAATGATGCCCATGAGAGTAATATAAATTAACACACAATGAAATTGGATATAAATTATTAATGAATACTATTTCTGAATAACCATGAGACCGAGACAGTCTACTCTAAACTCAATCCTTTGCTTTTATTTATTTATTTATTTTTTATTACAGGATGGGCCTGAATCTGGACAGACTGTGAAGGTGAGTGCTTATTATATGCATACAAATAAATAAGGGAAGATTGAGACTTAATAGATCAAAACTAATCTACAGCAGTGTGTTGGCTCATTTGGGTTGTGGGGACCCTCTATCCAATATTACTGCAAACACTTAAATTATTGGAATTGTGCAGGGCAATATGGTTCAATCCATTTTTTCCCTAATTAAAAGTATCCAGTTTCTCCTCCTTCCTACCCCACAACTAAAAAGGGGGAAAAAAGGGTTGGGGAACCCCTTAACAAATGCCAATAGTCAAGCAAAATGGAGTCCCACATTGGCCATGTCCATATACATACATATATATATATATATATAGTATGTATAATATGTATATATGTATATATACACGTGTATGTACATGAAGTATGTCAGCTACTACATCATATATGTCATATGATATATATCATATCTATCTCTATCTATCTATCTATGTAATTCTGTGCCCTGAGTCGATATGACACAGGTTTTTTGACCTGGGACAAATCACTTCACATGTCATTGCTGAGGCAATTCTCTACGAGTATACTTTTGCACTTCAGGTGAAGATTACATTGGTTACATTGATCCCAATCCTCATTGGACTTTCAATGATAATGATGGTGATGAGAATGAGTATGTATATACTGCTTTAAGGTTTGCTAAGTACTTGAGAAATATGATCTCATTTGGTCCTCACAACAACCCCGAAAGTAGGTACAATTATTATCCCCATTTTACAGATGGGAAAAACAGACACAGGGAAAGGTTAAATAACTTTTCCAGGTTAAGTTTCTGGGGACAGATTTGAATTCAGGCCTTCCTGACTCTGGATCCACTGCTCCATCCCCTTTGCCATCTAATTGACTTCTTACCAATGAAATCACAAGTCTAGTCTCCCTAAAACAATAATTAAAATTTAAAAAATATGGCTTCTTCTATTCATGAATAAACATGTTCCAGGTCTTTTATCTCTCTTCTTCACCGCCTCCTTTCATCCTTCTCCTGTCTCTTCCCCCGGTCCTCCTCCTTACTGAAGTTCAAGGCTGATGGAGTCAGTGAAGCTTAAAACTAGATTTGAAGTGTACTAGTAGGGGAAAGGGGAGAATTTATTGGGATATTCTCCACCTGCCTAGTTTTAGAAAAATAAGATAAAATGCAGTGTGAATCTGCAATTATGTTTTACTTCCTGAAGTACGAATGCAAATCCCTGGATAGTTAGATTCTGGGCTTCCATGTTAGATAAAGGCTATTTTTTTTTCCATGCTGAAAATCAAAGGAAAGCTGAGCCATAGTCAGGGTTTTGTGTTTTGTAAAATAAGATTAACTGGTTACGAGAAGCCACCGAGTGGATTAAGATAACACTCAGCGCCAAATGATGGCAACCAAAAAAAAAAACCCTCCCTTTTTTTTGGTCTAATTTGCAGCCTTGACCTTAGTCTAGATGTGGCTTTTACTGCTTGAGACAAATGCCTAGCAGAGTTTAAAAAGAAAAGAAAAGAAAGAGGCCTCAGGGAAGATGGGGAAATGTGTGGTACAGAAGGCAATTTACCGTAAGGGCTGACACTGAACAGGTCAGCAGACTCTTGCTGGGGAAAAGAATTGACTGCCAGATTGTGGGGGGTAGGGGGTGGGAGTGGGGGGGAGAGATATGATGGGAACAGGTGAAAATGACATTCTTTCATCATGGCTTCCTAAACAATATTTTGACTTTAGCAGAGTAAATAAATTGGTTGCTGGGGTGAAACATTTGCCTTTTTAATTCCAAGGGTGGATAGTTGGGAATCTTTTTTTTTTTTTGTCAAATAATATTTAGATAAAATCAGTATTCATAGGGAGTTACTGGGAGGGGAGGGAAAATATCTTTCATACCCATTAGTGTGGAATGTTAGGAATTAACCCTTGGTATTCAATTGGGAGGTCAAGATGAGAATTTACTGGGGATGGGCCATTTGGTTTATTTGAAAAAATAAGCAGGGGTGGTGGGGGTGGGATAAGTGAAATCACAGGAACAACTTAATGAATACCTTTTGCTTAACTGATGTGGCTTGTATAAGGTGATGGTTTAATAGTGCAACTAATCCAAATTCGTGGATGCTCTTTGGCATGAGGAATTGAGGTCAGCGATATTTTTTAAGATGCATTTGAAGAACATGCAAGCTGGATCCTTTCCCTATCTTTGTGTGAAAGATGCTCTGAATGTAAATACTCAGGAAGATAAGAATGTTTGAGCAGGAAGGATGATACTTAGAGAAGAAATAGTCCAATCATTTTAGTTTACATTGAGAGAGACAGCACCTCTGTGCATTGATGAAGATAAAAGAAAGACCAGGGAGATTTTACTGCTAATAAATATAAATCATCAATGCAGGAGTGTAGACCAGGAATGTAGAGGGCCCTGGCCTTTCCCTCTTTTTCTAGCTTTTATTCTAATTTCCAGTTCAGACATGATCTTGGGAGTGAGGCTTATCCCGATACCACAACCTCCACATGGTTTCTGCTATTCCATGTTATTTTGTTTGGTTTTATTTTATTTGAGCTGAGTTCCCAAAGGATACAATATCCACTTAAAGATGAAACTGGAGTTACAAGGATTTTCTTAAGTCAGTTGCACAGGGCCGTGGAATTCGAATTAGCCAGCACTAGACACAAGTGTTTAACAGAATAAACTTCATCTTGCTTTTATTGGCAGCTGCCAGGCTGAGTGTAGTGTGGTTCCTGGACTTCAGCTATGTGAAGAAAACTGTAGCTCTCCTTGCCAAAGGAGAAGCTTTCTAAGAACTATATCTTTATAGTTAAAGTTAGTCAAAGGATCATAAATTTAAGGATGGAGTAGACCTCGTAGGCCATTTCATCCAATCCTCTCAATTTATAGGTGATGAAACTGGGGCCCAAAATGACTAGTCCAAAGTCATACAGGTGGTAAATGACCAAGGCAAGATTTGAATTGAAGACCACTGACTCCCAAATTAATAATTTTTTCCTTCCTATGCTAGTTAATCCTATCCTATTTCAAATAATAAGCACTTATTAAGCACCTATATGCCAGGCACTGGGGCCACAAAGGAGAAAAAAAATGAAACAGTCACTATTCTCAAGGAGTTTACATTCTGTTGGATGAGACACCATATGTGTATATGTTTTGCATGTGCAGAATAAGCACAAAAAAATAGCAGAGAATGGTTTAATGACTCAGAGTTAGTACCGTGGACAGCAGAGACGTGTCACCACAGGAACCTAGTGCACAGTAGATAGAGGTGTGACACCCTACGGGGAGTGTCAGAGAAATGTGAAATGCTATGACCAGATCCATGGGGAGCTCTGTAGTGTTGGAGGTATGAGCTACCAGCTCCATGTGTGACTCTCAGCAACATAGTTTCCTATGTGTATGCCCTGGGCATGTGGGCATATGCACACTCCATGCATATTCCCTGGCCACATATATTCTCTATGAATGTATCTCCAGGCATGTTTCTTATACATGTGTGGTCTCTCCATGTGTATCTTCCTTTCATTGGTCATGTGCAAACTTATGGAGAGTGTATAACCAATAAGGAAAAATGGGAGGCTCTCTTCTTGTCACTTTTATTTGCTATGACTATGTTGTTTATGTAAATGTCTTTGGCTTTGAATTTGTATGTCCTCCAGTTAGAAAGCAATGGGGAAAAACCCATTGGTGTGGTCTTGGGAGCTATGGTATTGACCTTCAGAGTGACTCAGACCTAGGGTAGTTTTAATGGGGGCTCATGTGTAAAAGAGTACACTAAATGCTTCATATGGATGAGAAAATTGACACTTAGAGGAGCTCTGATTTCTCAAAACCATATAACAAGTTCCTGAAAGAACCAGCACTGAATACAGAGCCAGGAGCCTTTTTACTGAATTATTTTGCCTTGTATTCACTGTTCAAAGAGCAATGGTTCTTTTGAAGCTGGGGTGGTTGGCAGATCATTCAACTATTTTAGCTTAATGTAAAATTTGTTTTCTATTTTATTTCAAGAAGTTTCAATGTTACAGTTTATTACTACATTGCATAAGTTTTTATGGGATTTATATAATTCTAATATGTTTTTTAATTTTAATTTTTTGCATGTATCTAATTTTCTGAATTTACCAAGCTCATATTAAACAGAGAAAGTATGAACAAGGGAGTCCTCTTCTCTTACGTGACATCTACACAACAGATTAAATTACCCAGATAATTTAGCTATCGTAATGACATGTTTTTATAATTGGTTGTTCACCTAGCACCACATAGAATTGGCATTAGGGTGCTAATCAGTTACAGTGTGGGGGCTAACACTCTGTATGTTTCAATTTCTGGGTGCCCCAACTGAGACATACTCTTAAAGTTACTCATCTATGTATCCAGAAGCAGCTTTTTACAAACTGTTCCTCCCTGAAACCCCAGTTACTGCTTCCTTCATCTTCATCTCCATGTCTAGTGCTCCGTATTCAGTCTTGACTCATGAGTTTTCATCAGATGATAAGCACTAACAATGAAAAATGTCATCATAATTCTTCTCCAAAGACACCACCATTCTCTTTAATAAAGGTGAAATATCATGGCTAGATTTCAAGGTGTCCATGAGTTTGGATAGAAAAAAAATTCCATCTTCATTTTAATTAACCTCTAACTGAAACTTGACATTTATTTCAGTTATGAATTTAGCACCAAACATTATGCTGAGAAGGGGTCCATTGGTTTCACAAGATTGCCAAGGGAGTCCATGATATACAAAAAGGCTTGAGAACTTCTGTTTTAAGGAGTTGCAATGTTATCTTCTTAGACTCAAAAGCTGACAGCATAGGATATTGGAAAGAGTCTGAGAGCCTGGGTTTCAATTTCATCTCTGTTACTTATTAGCTATGTGACCTTGAATAAGTCACTTACCCTGAGTCTCAGTTTCCTTATCTGTAAAATAAAGGACATTGCATTTTGAAAGACTTTAGAACTCTGATCAGGTCAATGACAATGAGATTAACAATGAAAATGTTATCTGCCT